GGCTTGACGACGAAAAAAAGTTCATCAAACACTGCTACATTTGTACAATCGTAAGAGACTCTTACGCTCCATGGGTTAGCACATGATATCCTTACCGTTTTGTACCGAAAAGTTTTCGTTCGTGCACTTTATGATAAATGTTTGTTTTTTTTTCCGGTCTCGTTCTCACTTCCTCGGCTTTCGAGACGGCTCCCTCACTTCCCGGGGTGGTTTATGAGCTATACTACCAAACCGTAATCAAGCATCGACGTATCTCCGTGTTCCAATGCATTACGTAAGTTTTGGGGATTCAAAGATATCGAAACGATAAAATAAATGAATGACTGCGAGTCGGCATTCGCAATCAAGGAGGAAATCAGACGAATTCTTGAAACAAGTATTGTGAAAATGCTCTTTTAAAAAAACGTCGAGCGGAAGCCTATCGCCCTGCAATTTCCCGGGTGAGTTCTGGAATTTACACGCCTGCGGAGATCACCAATCGATATCGGAGGGAAACTTACGGGATGCAGCATCCTACGCGTTCGAGTGATTTTACGAAAAGAAATCGGCCGTTCGGATCCCGAGCTAAAGCCCTTCTGCGCGAGATGCGATGAATAGTTTGAGAGTGGATGCATGGCCCTCGAATGCCTCCGAGGCGCCCGATTCCGTTTCTTCGATCCGAGTGCAACCGAACGGGTGGAAGACATCCGCTCGTTTCGTGTGGGAAGAGGAAGCCGTTACGACGGATCGGAGGTCCGCCGCGAACCTCTGATATCCCTTTCCGACGCGAAGGAGCGTCCGCGTTCGGTCGCCTCTCCCTCCGAAGGACGCGACGTGATCCGACTCTCGTACGCGTTCGTGTCGCTCCGGTCGAAATTCCGCGCGTATTTTTTCACCACGGGAGAGATAACTGGATCGGACGAGGTCGCCCGTCACGAGATCGTAATTTATCCTTATTCATGCGTCGTCTCGCTTTCCTTTATCCCGTCCCTCGACCGTCGCGATCGGATCGCACCGACGCGACCTTCCGACCCGCTCGAGTCCGTCGAGCGACGTACGTCCACCTGCATCCGTTTCCGCGATCGTCCCCGCCTTCGTCTGCCTCTCGCACGTGCGAGCGAGAACGCGGAGGTCGAGATCGACCGGGACGAGGGAGGGCGTCGGAGGACGAGGGAAGACGCGCGAGGACGGGGAGGACGCGAGATCGCACGGACGGAGAGGGGAAAGCGAAGCGATGCGACCGTCGCGTCCGGGGGCGAACGGCGTCGAGAGGAAGAAGAGCGCGGAAAGGGCATAGTGCCTAGGGCACCTACCGTCGACGAACGTGCAGTTGGTGTCCGAGTCGGGATGATCCACACCGTAGGACATGTTTCACTCTCACTTCGTCCTTCACCGTCGATGAATGCGGAGGAAGGAAGGAGAAGGAACCCGGGGATACCACCCAGAGTAGATCGGGACTCTAACTCCTCCTCCTCCTCCTCCTCCTCTCCTCCTACTCCTCCCCTCCTCTCCCATCTCTATCGGAAGATCGAAAAAAAAGTCAGCCAGCCTTCCCTTTCCCGGAGTTTTCTCTCTCTCGGTTCCTGATTTGCGATTTCGAAGACAAAACGTCGGTAGACATTCTGGCAAAAAGCTCTTTTCGAACTTAATCCCTCACGCCTCTCCATCGGATGAGGCTTTCAGTTATTAAAACGAAATCAACTCGTTACACTTCCAAGTAATTTTCCATCGTCTCTTTCGTGCGATTCAATTTCCGCGGAAAAGCAGTCGCCGCTAGTTGCAAGTATCCCTCAGTTTTCTCGAATCTGTTGGACTTCCAGTCAAAATTCTACGATGCAGGGATCCGTATCACTCTCGCCATGACACTTCGGAATGCAATTTTCTTTTTCTGCGAGGAGACGATGGCCCGTCTCGATGTGAGAAGCGAGGAATCGCTAGTGTCGAAATCCGTCTCCCTCCCCCCCTCCCTCATCTCTTCCCTTTTCCCCCATCCCCCCGAAAAGACGTTCTACGAGGGTGACGATCTCAGAGATGCTTTCGTTCATCATTTCGCGCTCACGCGAACTCTCCACGACGCACTCACCTCGTCTCGTTACGTTTTGGACAACTCGAGGAACGACGTGCCCGACCGGTGGAATGGGCGAGGATTCTCCGCTTTTCCGGACGGCCTTCGCAGTCGGGCACGGAAAGGGTTCCGAGACGCTCGTGCGATCCCGAGAGGTCCCCCGGAAACGGTGAACGCGCGAGAGGACGGACTTCGGCGGCACGGCGCGCGAGGTCCATCGCGACGTCCATCCCTAGGTCGGGGTCTTCGGGCAAGGACGTCTGCGCGAGCGCCACGCTTTCTCCGCTTCCATCCGCTTTCGGCCTGTCCTCCACCGAGACGCGGTTCGCGGCCCGCCGTCGGTCTCTCGTCTGTCTCGTGCGTGCGTTCTCCGTCTCGGAAAATTTCCATCACGTACCACGAACCGGGGCCGCGGGGAGGGACGTGGCAAAAGGTGCAATCCGTCCCGGCCCGTGCCCGGGGTGCCCCCACACCGGAACCGTACCGCCGGCTAGAGCATCATCGTTCGGTAGCGTGGCGTTCGTCGACGACGAAGAGACGATCGAGTGCGTTCGAAGAGCGCAGGGAGGGACGAGCGGAACGGGGACCCTCGCGTCGGAATTCGCCCCCGGCCCCTGCCGTGCCGCACGATTCCTTTCCGCGGCCCCGTCGCGAACACCGAACGCGTCTCGTCGGTTCTCTCTTCCTCGCCGCGTCCGAATGCGTCGACACGACGCCGGTGTCCGTCGAGGAGAGTCCGAGCTCGGATTCTTCTTTCCCCGAGATTCGTGTTCGTACGTGCATCCCGAGGACGATGGTGCTTCCTGACGACCGCGCACGAGAGCGACGTGCACGCTTCGTGCGCAATGGAAGCTCGTTCGACTCCAACCGGCCGAATCCATCGCGGCTCCGCCTTCGTTCGCGAAAGTCCGTCCACGAGTTCCTGGAAGGAGTGCAGGGCTCCCGGGTCGTTAGAAAAAATCGGGAGCAAAGCGCATCTTCTGTCGTGAGATCGGAAGGGAAACGGGCGTATCTCTCGGCACGGTCCTCGCCGTTCTCATGGAGCACCTGCGCGAGATGAGTTTCCGCGCCTTCGTGCCGCACGGAAGACGGAGCCGGTGGAAACAGGGGAATCGAAAGCCGCTCCGTTCGGGAAATTCCGAGCACGGGGAACCGAGGCGTGCGAGAACGTTGCCGGCAGAGACCCGACCTGGGTCGTTCTCTTCGAACCCCAAGGAAGTTGCACGCCGTGGCGAGGGCGGCAGATCGTGGCAGAACGAGGTCGAAGGAGGTCGAAGAGGCGGTGCCAGAAAGTCGGGTGCACGGGCGCCAGGCGAGTAAGGAGAACGTCCTTCACGCGATCTTCGCGTCGTAGGGAGTTTTTTGCTGCAGATACGAAGACCGAAAAGGGAGAGTCGTCGCGGAGCATTTCCATTCGACTCGAGCGTCGCCTCGGGTGGTCGAGACCTTCCAGCAACTGCGTCTCGATCGAGGAGGTGTCGAACGTGCGCGAGTGCCGAGTGGCGTCACCGGGATGCGCACGAAAGGAGCCGCGGAGCATCTTTTCGGCTCGGTCTCTCGCCGACGGTCGAGACGGGAGGTCGTTTCTCGTCGCGAAGGCCTCGCCGTCCTCCCCCGCACGACGACCTTCGCACGATGTACGAGTATCGTCTTTCCGGCTCCCCCGCTGCGATGGTTTTTCGACGCGTGTCGAAACGCGGAACGGAGAAAGTACCGACGCTTCGGTCCCGATTCGGAGGCAGAACGAAGTCCTCGACCGTTTCCGTCCGGGAACGAGGGTCGTCCTCCGGAGGACGCAAAACGAGGCACCGGAAGAGCCCGGGCCCCACCGGCTCGATCGGCATCCGATCCGGAAGAGTAGGAATCCACGACGAACGCCCGAGGAAGGTGAGTACCGCACAGAGGACAGAGTGGGGTGGGGTGGGGGACAAAAATGGATTTCGTTTCCCTCGGCTGGACGAGGAAGCGTGCACGATTCGTGCGGACTTGCCGGTCTCGTCGTTCGCGTCGTCGACGGAGGCGACAGGAAAGAGATCGGATTCCACCTCGAACGATCTCCCTGGCGAAAGAACGGCGGGGCCATCCCACTCGGGGGACAGTTCCTTCCAGGTTCCTTCGAGCCGTTCCCGAGATTCACGCGCGAAGGCGAAGCCGATTTCTGTGCGGCTTCGGCCCGGGGATCCGTGCTCCCGCCGGTCGGTTTCGTTCTAGCGGTCGTGTCGTGCTCGTCCGGGACCGGTGCGAAGGCATGGGCCCAAAGCCGTGCGACGACGGTTTCCGACCGTTTCCTCGGCGTGACCACCTCGAGTTCTTGCGACCCCGAAATCTCTCACGGACGAGATCGACGTTCGCTCGTCGAAAATACGACATCGCAACGAACTTTTACATTGCGAAAAATCGCATCTCGTCGTCCGTTTCCCGACCCGGACCGGTGCGACAACGGGCTCGAGCGTTGCGATGCGACCGCTCCGATTTCGGTTTCGCGGTCGAGACGGCATACCGCATCCGAGGAAAACGGCAACCAGGGGCCGAATCGTGCTTCACACGAGTCGAACGGCGACGAGACGACGACGCACGGCATTCGACACGACGAAGTCTGTCTCCGTCCTTCGCTTCCACGCTTTCGAATCCGAATTCGAGGAAGACTTCGTCGCGTTTCCGCTTTCGTTTCTCGCATTCCCTCCGTTTCTCGTTCTCGTCGACATCGGGAACTTCACCGTCGGTGCTCGGAGCAGACGGTTTCGGCAGGAAACCATTCACGATATCGTATCTCTGCCCCTCCGAAAAATCGTTTCCAGGTGACCGACCGTGCAGTGGAGGCAGCCTCGCCCGATGGCGTCGCACGGTCGCCTTCCGTTCCGAAGTCGCCCCATCGCGAGGCCCGCGAATCGCCGCGTGTCTCGACCGACCGAGATCCGAAGCGATGGCAACGGTGAAAAATAAAAATAAAACAGTACGGATCGTGATCGCTTTATGACGGGTGGGAAACAGGTGGGAAAGAAAAAGAGAGATATCGTCGGGTGCGGACGGAGACGGGGATCCGTCGCGACTCGGATCCGAGGACGATTTCGCGTCGCGTCTTCTCTCGTCGAACGCACGACGGAATCTGTGACTCCCACGCCGTCGTGCACGGATGCAGAGGGAAGCGAGAGAAAACGTCCGGCATCGGTTCGGAATGGATCCACCGTTTAATTCGGGCGTACGTGGGCCGAGCGGAAGCGGACGACGAGGATCTTCATTCCGTGATCGGAACCGCACGTGGCCAGGTGGAGCACGTCCGCGTCGGAGTCCTCTCGGATCGGTCGCCACCGGACTCTCTTCACTGCTAAACCGTGTCCTTGTCTGGGAAGGAGAAAGGACCCGGGTGACAGCGAGCAAGAGAGAGAGAGAGAGAGAAAGTGATTCAAGATAACCAAGACGGATCTCTCACCGCGCCGGAAGGGTTTTCAGCATCTCCCAGCTGCATTTCGACTTCGATTCCTCCGACTCCGGGACTCGAAGAAGAACCAAGTGGATTTTACCCGTTTCGGTGCCCAAGGCCACGAGATAGGGGGTTCCCTTTCGGAGAGCCACGTCGAGGGCCGTGACGGGAGCCTCCAATTGCAGCGTCTCCACCGCCTCGTCCTCGTCGTCCTCTTCGGGGGCGCTTGGACTCGGGGCTCGCCAGGCCGAGACCCTCTGGTCTCGGGATCCCGTCAGAAAGTAAGAGGAGTCCGGAGTCCATGCGCAAGTCCAGACGATGCGAGAATGCCCCTTCCTCGATCTCGCGCGGCTGTACGTCCCCGTCTCTATCGGGGATCGGACAGAGGCACGTGATCCGGAAACGGTAAAGAAGGAAAAGGAGGAAAGCGGAGATCTCGTACCCGTTCGACGGAAGAGAACCCAGGTCCGATCCCGAGAGACGGAGAGGAGGAATTCGTCCGAGGGGGAGAACGCCAGCTGGGTGACGGTGAGTCCGTGTCCGTCGAGGGCATCCACCTGCGACCACGTCTCCGTCTCCCTGAGGACCGCACGCGACGTCGTCGTCATCGAGGTCGTGCACGAGACGGTGGGCACGACCAGAGCGTAAGAGAAAGGACGAACCAGAGAAGGATTCGAGCGTGAGGAGGTTGGGAAGCTTTACACGCGGATGCAAGAATCTTGCCATCGTGCGAAGAGGCCAATGCGAAAATCTCGTACGGGTGACCGTAGAGCTTCTGCACTTCCGGCCACAGCGTATTCTGCAACAGAACTTCCTCCACGGGTGGTTCTAGCAAGAGAACGAGCGAAAGAGAGTGCGTGTGCATCATCTGTCGTCGAATAGGCAAAGGGTCAAACGTTTATGTTTATGCTTCACAAAAACTTGACTACCAAAAGAAAAGAAACTGAGAAAAATGGGGAGAATGTAAGACACAGATTCATTCCTCCCTCCTCCCCACACCCCCTTTTTTCTTATTATTATAGAGATGCACTTGACCTACAGTATACCGTTGACGCTTTCATCCTCGACTAGGAACTTACCGTTCCAAGGTCTCTCTTCCCCTCCTTAGTCGAGCGAAGAGAAACGGTAAATGCGATGACGTACCTGTGAGGCTGACGGGTTGGTAGTGATATTGAGGGAACGAGTCCATGCGGGATCCGCTCCGGTCGGGGTCCTTCTCCAGGTCCGTCGAGTAGACTGCTTTGTTCGATAGACCCAAGGCTGGGACCGATGCTCCGAGCGCTCCTTTCGATGCATCTTCTTTCTCCTCTAAAAAGAATATCACCGATCGCCTTAGCAAAAAGGAGAGCTCGCAAGCAAGATCCGTAACGCCCTCGGACTCACCGACGAGCTCCACTCCGGAGAGATGACGGAAGTTGAAGAGGAAGTCGCGGGGGGCAGAGAAAGCCCGAGCCGGTTTCTCCTCCGCCCCAGTCACGAACGTCGTCGGGGAGATCGAGGCGATGCAGAAGATATCGTAGCCGTGAATCTGCGGCCTCGCCATCTCGTGCCACGTCCTCCGCTGCAAAGACACTCTCCGCGTGAGTTTGTGCACGGGAACGACGTGACGGAAAGGCGATTTAGGGACCGACCGGCGCGTGCGAATCTCGAACCCAGGGAGCGTGAAGGCGAGTCGTCTGATCCAGGCCGGTGGACAGGAGATACCTTCCCTTTCCTTCCCACGCCACGTCGCACACTTCCCTCCGGTGACCTCCGAACCCCACTCTCGGCTCCCAACTCTCTTTTCCCTCCTTCTGCTGACAGATTTCCAAGAGGTATCATCGAGAGAGAGCGGCCGGATGGATTCCTTTCCACACCCGGTGCTGGTAGCCGCCCAAGCAGCATGATCACGTAAACAAGATATCAATTTTTTGCAAACAATGTAAATTGGAATGCAAACGGGAATGTTAATTTTGTATCACCATTTACGTATCACAGAGGTGACATTTTCTTGACAATGGTTTGCGTAAAAATGATATAAAATGGACAAAAAAATTTACATTCATTGTACGTAAAATTAATATAAACATGCTGGTTGGGCGTATATGTGACGGCAAAAACCCAAGGCTTTTTTCGCCACAGAAATTCTCTCTCCACAACCCCCCCCCCCTCCTTTTTTTTTGCGTCGCAGGAAAAGGAGTTCTTCATGTCACAAGAACTACTCGGAATTTTCACTCCACAGGTTACTTTCCCCGAAGAGACAGGCCCCTTTCGTGCAACCAAAGAGCATGGCGACTTTATCCGTTTAGGGGGACGGTGAACGGCCATAGCTTCAGCAAGATCGGTCCGATACGACACAGGCTTAAAAACGACCGAATCGAACGCTCGTTTCTAAGGCTGAGTTTATATTCCTGTTGTACTGCATTGTACTGGGTGGGCCAAAAAAAAAATAGTTTTCAACGATAAACTATACCGCACTCACTACATATATTTTAATGCGGTTTGCGGCATTTGAAAGAGGAATGAATAAGCTTTACAATGACGTATTTACATTTCAAATATCAACAGTTTCAGAAATTCGGAAGCTCATATAAACACCTAGCAAAAATTACGTTGCCGCAGGACAGGACAGGGATGGACAGGCAGCGGCCTTCAAGACTTAAGTCACATGCCGTCTCCCTCTGAGAGCGCGGCAACTCACTTATTGTGGGTTGTTCATATGAGCTCTGGAATTTCTTAAACAGTTGAAGATATTTGAAAGGTAAATATGTCATTTTACAGCTTATTTATTCTTCTTTCAAATTCCGTAAACCCCATTAAAATATTGCAGTGCGTGAAGTGTAGTGCATTGTTGAAAACTGAGTTTTTTTTGCCCACCCTGTACAAGGTGGCCCATAGGAATTTTTTTTTTTTTTAGATAGAGGCTGCATCTTAGCTTCCAGTGGAGCAAAATATGGATATTATCGGATATTATGGAGTTTTTTTTTTAAGCTCTGGACTGTATCTTTCGATTGAGCCTATTTTTGCTGAAAAATCTCTAATTTGGACGAAGTTACGTGCATTTGTCTGAAGTCCGAACCCTTCTTCAAACCAAGTTTTTTAAATCTTTGCTCAGCAGGTTCCGTAAAAGACCAAATACAGCACTGTTATCCTGAGGAAAACTTGAAAGACACACAGCGCTGTTTTCCGCAACAGTCACAACAAGCATCAGACACCGAATCGAAGAATCGATCAAAGTCAACAAGCATCAGACACCGAATCGAAGAATCGATCAAAGTGTTCGACTCCGACAAAATTCTGTTTCGATCAGCTTCTGGTGGCTTGAGAGCTCGATGGGAGGTCTGTAAACTGGAAAATTCACCGAGCATGAAACTCATATTCTTTACCTATTTTCTTGTAAAGTCTTCAAAAAAGGGTTTGAACTCAGTGAAATTAAAAAAAAAATTCCCAAAAGTCTGGATCCATAGGGCTATCTCAAGGCGAAAGTTTACATTTAAGAGATTCGAGTGACACAACTTATTACGCAAATTAACTTATTAACTAAATTTATTACTTATATGCAAATACATAATGAAATCTCATAAGGAGTGTCTACTCGAATCTTGTAGTGAAGTAATAGTAAAGTAATAGACAAGTATGCACTTTCGCCTTGATATGGGTCTAGACTTTTGGGACACCCTGCATATAACCTCCTCCAGCTGAAAGATTTTTCAACAAAAATAGGCTCATTCGAAAGATCCCACCCAGGGCTATCCGAAAAGGCACATATTCGTAGTTTTCTTCACTGGACACAAAGATACAGCCTCAATAATAATTTTAAAAATAAATGCTTACAAAGTACAGCATACTGGACGCTCGACGCAATTTTATCAATTTTATCCTCATTGAACGAGGAAAAACAAAGCATCGTCCGAATACTTCTCGACTACAGCAGCGCCTTCAACTGCGTGAGTGGAAGCCACGCATTGGACCGCTTGGTAGAAGATAAAATACATTGTTGGGTATTGCGAATCATTCACTCCTATTTATCCGAAAATGTTCAGCAGGTTCTATTACAAGGAAAAGCCTCCTCTTTAATCGGGATTTTACAAGGTGGAGTACTTTCTCCTCGTATTTTTCCCAAAGTAACAGATACTCTTCGCTCAGTCCATGAAAATACACATATTCTGAAGTATGCCGATGACACCGCGGTGATGGCAACGATCACATCAGAATTGGGTTTTAAAAATTGTCGCTGAGATCAGACGTGTGTATTTGGTCACAAAAGGAATCTCTTCTTCTCGAAGAAGACAAGTGTGTCGAGCATGTAGTTCACAATAAGGGTATAAAACAACTTCAGCAACAAATAGACACGGCCATATCCGTCAATGGGAAGCAAATTAAACCATCTTCTTTTGGTCAGTAACTTGGGATACGACTGGTCAACAAACTCTCCTCTGAAGGACAGGTAGAAGAAATTACCAAAAATGCTTTCGCCGTTCTTTCTTTGCTGTCCACTTGCTCAGGTCCATTTCAGGATCTCTAACTCTTATAAAAATGTTCGTTGAGACCTGCATTATACCAATTCTGACATTCTCCTTACTAATCTACGGCGGACATTTTTCGAAGAAGAGTATCAAACTATTCAATGAGGTAATAAATCGTCTTGCTCACATCAGCCGCCAAAAGACTGAGCAGCTATTGAAATTCGTTCGCCAAAGAGTGCAGTATCAAGGATATAAATTCTTCAACAAGATACGAAATGATAAGGAACATCCTGAAGTAAGCAGATGCCTTCGTAGCCACAACTACCACAACCGTATTTGTATGACTCATCCGAGAATTCGACTGGAGTCATGTCCAAGATCCTTTTATTTCATCAAAGCCTTGAAGGGAGATAATTTCCTATCTTTCTAGCCTGCTTGAAACGATTAGTAACTGTTTTCATTTATTTTTCATTTATACATGTGTTGAGGATGCTGAATCAAAGCAAATAAATCCGTCCAGCAGCAGAACGTTAACATACTGCAAAACTGCACGCTGCATCCTAAAAAAAAAATCGAATGGTTTCCATTCTATTCAGCATGCTGTAAAGCAAGAACTCTGTGTAGCGGGCAAAATGCGGCATCAGCTACTGTACAGCATTTCAGAATTGCAGTCCAGCAGCTGGACTGGATTTTTCACTTCAGCATGCAGCATGCCCTACAGCATGAGTATAAACTCGGCCTAAGAGAGACCTCAGAGCACGAAGATTTCCTGTTCCAGTTTCGAGGTGGGTGGGGGGAACTCTGAGGGTCGAGTGCCAGAAGCATAGGCGCCGACTTTTAAAAAAATATTGGGGGGCAAGTTCCTATTGCCCCTGAAATAACAATGACGCATTTATTCCAGGATCCATTGGGGTAACTCAGTATTATTATGGTAGAATAGTGACGAGCGGGGGCGGGGGGGGGGGGGGGGGG